TGACAGGTTAGTTTGTCTGTAAGCAGTTATTTCACATCTTAAGGTGTTCAGAGACTTCTAAAAACTAAACTCTGAAACTACTTCAAAACTGATCAGGAGCTTCAGAACAAAGCATTTTTCTGGTGACACTTCCCTGCTGTAAACACACAGGCAGCAAGGGGATCAGTCCAGTAAAAAAGAAAACAAAGTTCCTTTTCTCCATATGAGTGTGAATCATTGCTTAAGCCTTCCAGCTCATTTGATGAACAACAGAGGTAAGAGATTTACAAACATGAGAAACCCCCACAGCTATGGACCAGCGAGCAATCCTCACTTCTAGTGGCACCAAGCAGGTAAAGGACTTGCATTTTTAAGTCAATATTTACATTCAAAACCCATATGATCCATTCACTCTAAATTTGTATAATCTACAGAGCAGTGATGCCCTGGTTTCAGCAAGAGCCAACAACCAATACAAATCTAACAGAATGAAAAAGGGAGGACGCTGATATTCAGAACCGATTTTGCACAGTATTGTCAGTCCTGTAGTGCTGTCATTGGAAACATCAAACGGGATGCAATTTCAGTGTTTGAGCACTAGAGGGTCAATTTGTGATGAAAATGGAGTCTTACCTCAGTTTCCTTATTTTTGTAGGTAAGCATTTAACCTCTCAATTAGCAGCTCTTCAGCTGTCATGAGTTTTGCTAGCTGAAGCTCCTTCTGAGGCCACGCAGCACTAGGACGGAGGAGTTATGTCACACAAATGCAAACTTTTTGCAAGTTTACCCTCAGTAATTTTAGTCTAGCATGTCACACCAAGCCCATGATTGCTTTCTGTGATCAGCTGCAGGGTGTACACCTTCACAAAAGGATCACCATGTTGGTCTGGAAGTTGTCTCTTCTGACTGGGAGTGGCAAGAGACTGATGAGAAACTAGCCCGCAGCCCGTTTTGAAAAATACTCATCCTGTACATACACAGATGCCTCTCCTCATGCCTAATTGTCATCCCTTTGAATAATTAAAAAATGCAAATACTCTCCATTTTAATGAAAAAGATCCTCAGCACCACCTGTAATTATACTGGTGCCAAACAACATGCACTGCCATGTAGGGTAGGCATCATCCAGAGTGAAGAATTCAGATATACTTACAGAAGTGTTACATTTTTGGATTTTTTTACATCAGTGGCAAGGCCCACTAGATTGCAGCCTTGCCACTGAATTAAAAAAAACCCAACACTTCTTAAAGTATAAGCATATACCCGAAATTTGGAGCATTACTGTATGAACAAACCAGAAATCCTTCCCTTCCCAACAGGATTTGTTATGGAAACAGCATATAATTTCATTCCAATACCACAAATTTGCACTACATTAGAGTGTAACTGTTAGTGAAGGATGAACAGTAAATCAGCATCTCCAGCTCTCCAGGCTACAGCCCTCTTCAGGGAAACAGTGGTTCTGAGTGCCCCTTCATTTCAAGCTATAAATATATCCCACGGGAGAAAGCAAAGCCATTGACTAAGGAACGCCTTAACAAGTACTTCTAGCCCAGCAAACTTTGTTATAACAGTTTTGCTCTTATATTGTCCTTCTTGTCAGGGACAAGAGAACTGGGCAACACTGCTTCTTTGTGTACAGTGATACATGTTTTCTTAGGTAAACATAGCACATCAATTATAGACTGTGTTATAAAAATCCTACATTAATTCCATGGAGCAATGGATAGATTTGTTTTCAACAATGAGTGAGGTAAAACATTCATGATAACTACAATATAGACATGCAAAAGACATCCTTGTGTTATTTTAATAAAGAGTCTCGAATACCATTGTTTTGAGAAATAGAAGTATAAAAAGATGACTGCCACAGCATTCAGTAATGACTGACCTTTGCAAATTACTGTGAGAGTTCATAAGAATTATCAAACAAAAAAAGCAGGTTGCTATTTTTAATTATTGTATTGTGCTCTCTAGTGTATTTATTAAAATAACCAAGATTGAACACAGAGTTTCAGCTCTGCAATCTATGAAAAAAAAAAAAAAAAAAATCCCAAAGAACTGAAGGGGATCCACATCTGCTGCAAATAATGAACTGAAAATATTAACAACATTTTACTTCATGTAAAAACAATTCCACTACTCACCTTTGAAAAGCATTTTTAAAAAATGGGTCCTTCCATCCCTACCATAAATACAAAGTCTGTTACAAATAAATGTGTTCTTCCATGCATAAATAAATCACATACATTCAGCTGCAAGGAAACAGATCAGTCAAAACAGCTCAAATGTAATTATACAATGACCAAAAATAATTGCACTGCAACTGGTCATTAATGGAGTGCTGGCCAGTAAAAATGGAAATGCTAAAATACCCTAAAAAAAACACAACACACAAAAAACCCCAAACCAAACCAAAACAAACAAAAAAAACCAAAACAAAAACCAACTTTGAGAAGAACATGCAAAATAGATATCTGAGAAAGCAGGAGCTACCTTTATGTAAAACAAACTGAAAATAATGAAAAAAAACCCCCTTGTTCTCGTCTCACCTCATGGGAGAATTTTTTCCAAGCTTCCCTTACTTCTCTATGGCTGTTTACACACAATAATTTTAAAGAAACTAAACAAACCAAAAACATTTACATCTTCCTCCAAATTTACAGAATGAAACATTGTACTAGCTTCTAATATTGGAAACCAGAAATCGTCTCATTATTAGCCAGTCTTTCCTAACAAACCCAAAGAATGGCACTTCGAACAATGAATTAGAAGAGGGGGAGGGAAAAAAAAAAGTGTAGTGTTGAAAGGTTTAATGCATGTACTTTCCATAAAGCTGAAATGCTTCCTTGAATGTATCATTTAACTCTGGATTAACCAAACATTCCAAATTCAGAATAACAAAACTACTTTGCTCATTGAAATATTCTGACAATATTGCAGCATAGTCTGTGTCATTTTGAGCAGTGAGAAAATGTTTTTATTTTATTTTAATAGGAAAGGGAGAAGAACGGCCAAGTTGAGATAAACCTTTTCTTTAACAAAAAAAAAAAATATTAAGAAAAAGAGAAAATTTTAAAAAAAGAACTGGTGAGCTTCTTTCTTCTCCTACCATACAGCAGATCTCTTCTTGGATTTCACACTACCGACCATACCCTGTCAGAGATCTTGAACAGTTTATATTACTTCTTTTGAAGGATTAATCTAGACTGGCCCAGAGATAAAAAAACTAAATGCACAATGAATTCCTACACTGAATTCCAGCTTGTTACTGTGAACTCAACATAAGAAAAAAGGAATCCCACACATCTTGCAGAATATGCACCGCTTTCACACAGTATTTAAGTCAGAGGAATACGTAAAGGGACAAGATAGTTTTGTACAAAACCTCAATTTATTTCAGAGAAATTAAAAATATGGTATTTAATATATATAAATTTCTATTCCTCTATAAATATAGATGATCTTGTGATAACGACAGAAATAAATGCATACCAAATAATTTTTGCATTTCAGGGTATGGTAGCCATAGATACTGTTTATGAACCTAAATACAAGCATTTGTAATATAAAAACAAAAAAAGTTTAAAACAATACAATCAGGAGAGAAGCATTCTGCTGTTTCCATACAGACAACTAAATATTCAAATGCAGCTGTTGAAAGTTACAATTTCAATTATTATCTTTTTTGTATGAAGAAGCACAGTCCCACACACCCAGGAACACACAAGGTAGCAGACACACTGCACACTCGGTATCTTGTATTTGCAGTATGCAAGGTTATTACTGCACAAAAAAAAAGAGGGCAGAACACAGCAGAAGCTCTTTAAGGTCTCATATCCCATCAGAGAGCTTCAACATTATGGTTTTCTGTTTTCCCTTCATTTTTACTACTGGCAAAAATCATCACACCCTCCTAACGTGTCATGAACTAAATGTCAATGAATTAAAATCCAGGGGAATGGCAATGGCTCCAGTGTTCCCCAAACGAAGAGCCAGCTTATGGACATAAGGAAAAATAACAGTGATCCTGAATGCTGCACTTTGTTCGAGGCCGCGTTTCCCGGCCCTGCCGCCCCCCCAGCAGCAGCGCGGCGGGAACGGGGGGAGCAGCGACCCGGGGCGCCCCCGCCACCGCCTCCCCACCCGCAAAATGCAGGACGAGGGAAGATCGGTACATCTACGTCCCCAACCCCTTCCTAAGCCATCGGACGTGCTACAGGTGCCGGCGCTGCTCGCTCTCAGCTCCTGCACAGGCCAACTCCTTCAACCGTGCCGTGCATTTAGTTTGTTACGACGGGAAGAGGGCACCGGCAGCCAGTGCTGCCAGCA